CAGAAATATCTTTGCCAAATTTTATCGAGATCGGTTCAGATTTGGATTTAGCTCTCATATATATGTTTTTATCCGATTTCCGATTTTTAAAAGATACAAATGCTTCGGCATATTTAGTCCTTTGAACTTTAAATTATAATTATAATCATAGCGTGTATGATTGAATTCTCCCACAAAAACTTTTAATTGTTATGCGGAGCTCTACCGACGGCCCCGCCCGACTTTAAGACTTTCCTTACTGGTTTCCATTTGTATTTTTGAATTACTAAATACCACTTTTTTAATTTTTACCGTTATTTATGTTTTTCCCTTTTCTAAGTTTAATAGGCATTCGGGGGGCTTATGCCAATCCTTAAAGAATATTACCGTACTCGGTTTTGTTTATTCCCATAGAAAATCTATCTAATTCATAGACATTTTTAAATATATTTTCAAAAATTAGGTCAATAACACATGAAGAATGCATTAGATATATTGATTAATACGTATTGATTAAATCGTCTGTGTGGTGATTTATCCTAATCCGTAGTATTAAAAAATGTTTGAACACGTTAAATGTTTTTATCGGGAACAGTCCATTTTTTTGTTTACTGCAAATCTTTTTCTATATGTATATGTGTATATAGGAGAAAAAAACACACACACACAAAATAAATAAATAAATAAAACGACAGAAACAGTCGTTGTGATATCTACCATTTGTTAAATTTTATCTCTTTAACAGAAAAAAAAATTGTAATTCTTGAACAGAAGAATGATCACGAAAATCCCGTTTCTAATTAAAAGTAGTTTTTACAGACGGATGCGCTTCATCCGTTTCCACATATTATAACAATGTATTTTATTTAAATGATTTTATTTAAATATACTAAACGTAAATGTAAATATATTTATTCTATAAAACGGTATAAACCCGTAAGGAAAAGTCAAAAGTCCAGCGGAGCTGACTCTATTTAGTAGAGCTTTCATAACAAAAGAATGTATTTGAAGTAGATCATACCACCAGTCAACACTTGGCTTTAGATCAGTTAAAAGTTAGTCTCAGAGGGAACGATTATATAGTAGGCGTATCCAATTCTGAATCGATTTTCACCAAATTAGACGGATACATTTTAATCTTTTATACCAAATAGAGTGCATGATATCACTTCGAGAAGGATCAAATTAAAAACAGGTAAAAAAGAAGCTTTACTTTTAATAACCTTTACCACTTCGAAGGAAATTGAAAATGTTAAAAAAATTCCAAAAACTACCACTTAAATGAAAACCTTTAAAAGACGTGCACCTGTATACGAAATTTTTTGTCATAGGCTGAAGTGTCCATTACCAACTTCAAATATGAAATTTGTTACATACTAATACGGAGTATCGGGATGTACCGAAGACGTGGACCAGCACAGACAATTTTCTGTCTTAGGTTGGAGTACCCATTAGGATCTTCTAATAGGAAATTTGAAAAAATTCCGGTGAATAATACCGAATATCGGGAGGTATCGTTATATGAGGGCTATACGAAAACGTGGACCGACATGGTCTATTTACGAACTTAACCTGCATACTGGAAAATTATGCATGTATGCAAAATTTTAGCCTTGTATTCGTTTGAAAGATAACGTGATTACAACAGACAGACAGACGGACATCGCTAGATCGTCTTAGATTTTTATGCTGATCCAAAATATATATATTTTGCAGGGTCTATTATGAATATTTCGAGGAGTTACATACGGAATGACAAAGTTAATATACCCTCCATAGAATGGTGCAGAGTATAAAAAATGTATCGGAGCCGAGTTCCACAAAATAGAAACAAACTTCCCGAATTTCACTCCATTTGGACTGAAATTAGCCAAATAATGTCACAATAAACCTGAAATTGGATTAAAGGTATATATGGAAGCTATTTTCAAATCTAAGCCGATCTCGTTAAAATTTGCCAAATGTGTTTCCGAGCTCTATAAGATATGTGGTACCAAAAATCCTTGTTGTCGAATGTGAGAGATTTAAACACACAATCGGATGAAAAATATATATAGGAGCTATAGCTATATCTGAATTGATTTTCTTCAAATTTGATATACTTGCTTCTAGACTGACCTCGGTTGGATGTGCCAAAATTCGGGTCATTTGGCCTTATATTGGCCATTTGGTGAACAATTAACCCGAAATCGGTTGAAGATATATGGGAGCTATATCTTAATCTGATCCGGTTATCACCGATTTAAATAGGCTTCGTTCCTGGGCCAATCAAATATTGTTTGCAAAATTTCAACCGGATAATAAATGCGACCTGCATTTTGATCAAATATTGGGATTTGCAAAGTTGGAGCAAAATCGGATTATCCTTTCTCTTTCTGTGCAGTAAATTATTTTCTTTTAAAATATTGACATTTTGTGGGGAGGTACTAGAAGGAATGGACCGATATTGCTCATCTCCGAACTCGATCTAAGTTTGATAACGGTATTGCGATGCACCAAGTTTGGACCAAATCAGATACTCCCTTATAGTGCGCACCAGCCAGCCAGACCGACTCCAAATGTCCTGAAAGGGATTTGGTACAAAGAGACCAAGGTCTAAAACCGTTATTTCGATGAAGCATGTTTTGGCCGTATTAAATGATATAGTTATCCTATCCGGCTGAGGGTATACAAATTATTTTGAAGACAGTTTTTACCCTTTTACCCTTTGTAAACAAAATACAGGTCGCATTTATTGTCCGATATAAATGACATTTTGCACAAGTCATTTATTTGGTCCAATTTTCGATAAAGCTTCTAAAATTAACGCTTGCTAAAATTTTTTTTCGTAAATGGGCCATGTAGGTCCACGTTTTCATATGGCCTCCATATAACGGTACCTCCCTATATTCTGTTTTTTGATGATTTTAGCGACATTATTCACCGAAGTTGTTTCAGATTTGGTATTTGAAGTTCTTAATGGATACTACAGCCTATGAAAGAAAATTGTCTCTGATGGTCCACGACTTCGTATAGCCCCCATATAACGGTACCTCCCAATATTCGGTATTTTGATGATTTTAGCATATTCAAATTACGTATTTAGAATTCGTAATACGAACTACAGTGTGTGACAGAAAATTGTCTATGCAGGTCCAGGTCTTCGTATAGACCCATATATCAGTACCTCCCTATATTCGGTATTTTGATGATTTTAGGTACAATATTTACCGAAATTGTTTGAGATGTTGTATTTGAAGTTCGTAATGGATGCTACAGCCTGTGACAGAAAATTGTCTATGCAGGTCCAGGTCTTCGTATAGCTCCGATATAACGGTACCTTCCTTATTCACCGTTTATTTTAAGTTTCTAATTTGAATATGGTTATAGCTTATATAGCCGATATTCGGTATTTTAAAGATCTTAACAGAATTTTTAACGGATTTTATTTTTTGAAAATTTTCAAATTCGTTTCAAATGGTGGAGGGTATTTACAGTTCGGCCCGGCCGAACTTACTGTATTCTTTTAACATCTTTGACACTTCATTTGCCATATCTCGAAAAATTCCTCGAAGACCCCAGAAACTATATATATGTTTGTGATCTATCGGTAGCTTCAGATTTTCAGTATTTTAAAAGTTTTGGCCACAACTTTAATCAATTTAGCAAAAGCCTAATATTTCGGTTTCTTATTAGGTATGTTTAGGTTCAATTTTATTATAGTTTACATATAAAGGTACCTCATAAATATCGGTAGTTTGACGATTTCTGCCACAATTTTAAAAATGAAATCAACTGTTATTTAATGTTTTGGATTCTAATTTTGTAGATTTCTTTTCGCAAAAAAAAATGTTTTTGTGCAGAAACAGTATTAGCTATACGCTCCTATAACGGCACATTTTGTATGCACGATCCTTACATCATTTTCTTACCATTATTAAGTATTTGTTCAGGTTCTGATTTTACAAAAATTTAATTGTTCACATGGTGGAGGGGATAAAAAGTTCGGACCAAAAAAACTTAACCCTTGTTGTATATTTGAGCACTTTTGCAATCTGTTAGTTGTTGAAGAGATATGATATTTCTTCCCAAAAAAGTCCTCACAATTTCACTTCATACTTACTCTTCCCAGTCTTGGCTCAATTTGTTCGATCGATGTCTTTAAGAAAAATCTTCTCCTCGTTTGAATGCCACTTTTGCATTGTTTAGTTTTCTTTTGACCGCCATAATACACTTTCCCCATACTGTGTATGTTCTATTGAAACAATTTAATAGAATCGTGGCTAATGGAAGCGATGACATGATCCATAAATTGTTTTTATTTGTTTTGATACTCTTTTTCCCAAATGCAAGCAAGACATACACGTCCAAATACTAGATGGATCGATGATTGTTCGCCAAACGTTGATCAGATTCCTTTGCCTTATACAACAATATACAAAATTCAAATTGTCTTCAACTCATTTCCATGGGGCCGGATACATTTTTTAGCCAGCAATTCGAATGCATAGCAAACAAGTTGCTTCGCAAAGAAACGAAATATAAAAAAATAGCCAATACACCAAAAACAAAATCTGAGGACAAAAACAGAAGTAGTGGTGGAAGAGAATAAGAGAAATGAGTGAGCTTTTCAAAATAAAATACTTGCATATATATTCCAAATCAAACAATATTGGAAAAATACGCCAAAAACAAAAAAAAAAAAATTGTCGGCTAGGCATGGTGTGGAAACAGAAATTCACCACAGCAAAGATCACACATCATAAAATATTACCGAGATCGAGAATATACTCAACTTGTTGAGAAAGCACACGCACACCCACACACTCACTTAAGCTTTATTGTGGCGACGGACACGGACACGTACGGACATCGAACACACACTTTCATTCACATTCACCCATTCATCTATTTTTCATTTCCCGCTCACTCAACACTCACCCACACACACACATGCACGTAGAGTGAAAATTTTCATTCTGACTGAAAACTCACCATTACTCATTGGTTTCTAATAATTTTTTTTGGCAAACTATTTTCAGTATGAATACGGCCGCGTAACGCTCATAATACCCCAAGCTTATCCAAACGACGCTGGAGTCTATGTACTGACAGCTAAGAATTTAGCAGGTGAAGCTTATAGTTCGTGTAACGTAATTGTTAAAGGACGTCTGCCAAACGAGACGTCCGATTCGGAAATGGCTTCGGATATGGAACCCGTCAAGCCAACGGTACAGTTGTCACTTAAAGATGTCTCGATTGTCGAGGGTAAACCAGTGCGTCTCGATTGTATAATTGTGGGCCAGCCCGAGCCCGAAGTGATTTGGTATCACAACGAGAGGCCCATCAAAGAATCGGCTGATTTGAAATTGCTCTTCCAGGGCGACAAGTGCTCCCTCGTAATCGAGGAGGCATATCAGGATGATGCTGGTAACTACAAGGTGGTAGCCATTAATTCGGCCGGCGAAGCGACAAGCAGCTGTGAGGTTAAGATTGCTCCATCGGCAGAATCGGAAACAGCCTCTGTAGCTGAGTCGGAGACTAAAAAAGAAGAGGAGGTGACCAAGACCGTAACCGTTGAAAAAGAAACGGCTGCTGTTCAGGAAGTTGTGGTCGAAGATGTGGGCGAAGACGAAGAAGAAGATGCCCAAGAAGTAGAAGAAGAAGTGGTCGAAGAAGTTGAAGAAGAGGAGGTGGAGGAAGAGGAAGAACAATTCCTGGAATTTGTGAAACAAATTCAAGATCAGACGGCCGAACTTGGTGAAACTGTCAAGTTAGAAGTTGTCGTCAAGGCCAAACCCCAGGCCAATGTTGAATGGGCCTTGAATGGTACAGCCATTAAGGGTGACGAAGAAAACTTTGCCCTCTCCTCCAGTGGAGACAATTTCTCACTTACCATCAAGAAAATGAGCACCTCCACAGCAGGTAAGGTGGAGGTGACCGCCAGGAATCCCGTGGGTGTTGCAAAGACCGTCGCTTTCTTGGGTTTGTCCACTTCCGAATTGGATCTCGAAGACATGACCGATGACGACAGTGTGGCCCAAAGTCTTACTCAAGATAATTCCGGCTCTGCTTCGGTGACAATTGAAAAGAAGACTGTCACCAGCACCACAACTCAATCTGTGGAAAGATCTTCCAATGCCGAACCTCAGCCAACTGAGACGGTGGATGCGGCACCCAAGAAAGAGGTTCTGTTGCTGGAAACCACCGTCACTGGTGCTCCAGCTCCAGTCCATGATCCTGCGGTTCCCTCCAGCCCCTCCAGCACCCGCAAACCTTATGCCCCTCGCTTTACCACCCCCTTGGCCGGTAAGATTGTGGATCAAGGTGCTGATGTCAGCATGGAAGCCGTCATCGATGGCTTCCCCTCGCCCGACATCAAGGTCGAAAAGAATGGCTACGATTTGCCCCAGAACGGTCGCATAACCGTCGAAAAGAACAGCAACCATGTCACCATTGACTTTAAGGATGTTAATCACTCGGATGCTGGCCGCTATGCCGTCACCGCCAGTAATGTGGCTGGCCAGGCAACAAGCACAGCCGATTTGATTGTCAAAAGTAAGTAAATGAAATAAATTCCCCCGAATTATGTAGATGTATGGGTGGTGGTGGTGATGCTGGTCCCACTGCTGCATAAATCAACCAAAGTATATTTCGTATATTTAGAAGTTTATAAATATTTAGAAGAAAACAGAAAAAAAAAGACGACAGGCAAATAAATTTCTATGCCAGAACATGTAGGAGGAGTAGAGTGGCCAGTTCTCCTATATGCATACACACACACATGAAATGTTGTGGTAAATATGTACAAACAAATGTATGTATGTATATATGCATATATATGTCGAGTTTTTTGCTTGGACTGCTTGTGGCATTCATTGTGTTTATGTTTTAGCCCAGATGAACTATTAGCGAATGTTGTTGGGAAAATTAAAAACAGCGGCAACATTTTTTCTTTTAATCTTTGAGCAACAAAAAAAAAAAGAAAGAAAAACAAAAATAACCATTCTTACGTCCCCCCACCGTCACAAAGTACTTAAGACAAGTGTTAATCGTGAACATGAAAATAATTCTATTTTTCGTATATGCAGATGGATGGAGGAGCGGATGGATGGTTGGTAATGAAAATCCTAGGTTTTATTATTATTGTTATTATTAATTTAGACAGATATGTACGAAATTCGTTTAGAAGGGGCCGGGGGTGAATAGAAATCTATTTTGAGGTACTTGTTTGTGCCACCGGCTCCGGACCAATGTTATGCACAAATAACATAAAAAACTGTATTTAGTGGAATAATATCATTCCCAGCTTGGAGATATTTCAATAAGCAAGATAAGTTTGAAAAATATGAAATTTTAATTTTTTACCTACCAATTGTTAAACAAAACTTCAATCGATATAGAAAAAATCCTTTAAATGCATGGCGAATTCCTGTAATTTTTGAATGTAAAACTAGTAAAAGAGGGAAATGTTATATCCGCTCTGAGAGAACATGGACGAATATAATAATCTATTGTTTGTTTTCTCTTTCGAGACGAGCTTAATGATCTGAAATTTGCAGTGAAAAGGAAAGCCAGATAGACACTATCACACACTCACCACTATGCGACGCGTTTCGCCGTTGGTTAAGCGGCTCATCAGGCATATTTGGTGTGGATGATGGCTTACAAGGGCCGTTCTCTGGAAAGTAGTATATATTTCGAACTTATTGCAAATTAGCATATGCGAATTATACACTAGAAACTCTCCAGGTTGGACTCAAGTTCTATTGGCAGATCTTTTTCACAGCAAAGTTTTGTTTTTGTAGTGATGGATTTTTTGTCCACAACAACTACATTGCTTCCAATGCATACACTTGTTTTAGTGCTGCTTTAGGAAGACGGGTTAATGGCTCTGAACGTAGAGACGGCAACTTCTAGTTGGCTGCACACCGAGGTCCGCGGTTCAAATCCCACAGCCAGGCTCGGCTGAATTTTTGAGTTTTGCCTTGTTAAGGCGAAGATCATATGTTTTATGATTTATTGTTTGTTTTCTCTTTCGAGACGAGCTTAATGATCTGAAATTTGCAGTGAAAAGGAAAGCCAGATAGACACTATCACACACTCACCACTATGCGACGCGTTTCGCCGTTGGTTAAGCGGCTCATCAGGCATATTTGGTGTGGATGATGGCTTACAAGGGCCGTTCTCTGGAAAGTAGTATATATTTCGAACTTATTGCAAATTAGCATATGCGAATTATACACTAGAAACTCTCCAGGTTGGACTCAAGTTCTATTGGCAGATCTTTTTCACAGCAAAGTTTTGTTTTTGTAGTGATGGATTTTTTGTCCACAACAACTACATTGCTTCCAATGCATACACTTGTTTTAGTGCTGCTTTAGGAAGACGGGTTAATGGCTCTGAACGTAGAGACGGCAACTTCTAGTTGGCTGCACACCGAGGTCCGCGGTTCAAATCCCACAGCCAGGCTCGGCTGAATTTTTGAGTTTTGCCTTGTTAAGGCGAAGATCATATGTTTTATGATTTATTGTTTGTTTTCTCTTTCGAGACGAGCTTAATGATCTGAAATTTGCAGTGAAAAGGAAAGCCAGATAGACACTATCACACACTCACCACTATGCGACGCGTTTCGCCGTTGGTTAAGCGGCTCATCAGGCACGGCGAAACGCGTCGCATAGTGGTGAGTGTGTGATAGTGTCTATCTGGCTTTCCTTTTCACTGCAAATTTCAGATCATTAAGCTCGTCTCGAAAGAGAAAACAAACAATAAATCATAAAACATATGATCTTCGCCTTAACAAGGCAAAACTCAAAAATTCAGCCGAGCCTGGCTGTGGGATTTGAACCGCGGACCTCGGTGTGCAGCCAACTAGAAGTTGCCGTCTCTACGTTCAGAGCCATTAACCCGTCTTCCTAAAGCAGCACTAAAACAAGTGTATGCATTGGAAGCAATGTAGTTGTTGTGGACAAAAAATCCATCACTACAAAAACAAAACTTTGCTGTGAAAAAGATCTGCCAATAGAACTTGAGTCCAACCTGGAGAGTTTCTAGTGTATAATTCGCATATGCTAATTTGCAATAAGTTCGAAATATATACTACTTTCCAGAGAACGGCCCTTGTAAGCCATCATCCACACCAAATATGCCTGATGAGCCGCTTAACCAACGGCGAAACGCGTCGCATAGTGGTGAGTGTGTGATAGTGTCTATCTGGCTTTCCTTTTCACTGCAAATTTCAGATCATTAAGCTCGTCTCGAAAGAGAAAACAAACAATAAATCATAAAACATATGATCTTCGCCTTAACAAGGCAAAACTCGAATATAATAATCGTTCTGCTATTTTTAACATAGCCAAGTTAGTAAACAAAGTAAAAAAAAAAACATAGAGAGTCCCATTCTCCGTTTTTAGCTTATTTTCTCTTTAATTTGCCTGTAAGTTTTAACGGCTTTTCCATTTAAAATTTTCAAAAATTACAACATTTTTAGATTTTTGCAAGTTCTTTAATGATGTATCAGAAACCCCAACAACCACAGAAGATTTTTCATCATCTAGTAGCTAGAAATAGTGTGAAACGAGCTAAGTGGAAATTTATTGAAAATGAAGTGTGATTTTTTCGGAATTTTCAAAGACCTGAAAACAAATGGCAATGTGTTTCTTCTTCACTGTCAAAATTCATCCGCTTTTTAATATTAGGTCTGTGAGGGCAATTTTCCTGCAGGAATTATCTAGCAACTTTTTTTCGCAGGAAGTAAGGTATATTTATTCTCATTTGAGAGAAAACCGGAAAAAGTTAACACACATACCCCTATAAAAACAGCAAATAATCAGCTGATATGTCAGGAACTTCGATCTGCAAAAAACAATTAGGCTTGCAATTTTCAAAATAAAAGTATTTTGAAATTGCTTTCGCAAAACTTAATTACCGGACGAGGAAGAAGAAGAGTTGAGAGCAGTTGCAAAAAGATTTCTTACCTGCAGGAATTCGCAAATTCTCACTAAAAGAACTGTCAACATTTCTCTATCGAATCGCACTCTTTTGCAGTGCTTTTCTGAACGATTTCTAATAACAATTGACAATTACTTCTCTATACAATATTGTAATTATGTATATTAAAAATGCAATGTTTTTATGTTCGACTTCAAAATCGATGTTTTTTAATATTTCAAAATATTAGTCAAAGAAGCATAAAGTATTCCTGTTCATGATTATGTAATTAAATTCTAAGTCGATCTAGCTTTCCCTGTTGAAATAAAGTTCATATTATTTTTGATGTTCTGACATTTTCCAAAACATGAGCTGTTATCATATCAATGTTAGTAATGTTCTATATCAGTTCATTCTTCAGAAGTTTTTTCTATTTCAAGCTGACTCGATTCTAAGTCAGCTGTATTTTTTTAAAACTTATGGTCATCAGTGAATGGAATTTCCCTGGAAAAATGTTTATAATGCCATTTCCTAAGGACCAATTTGCAATATCGACTGCATTTTATGTCGATGTGCCTGTAATTGTATATTTTGAGATCTTAGTAGATGAAACATATTCTTACACAAAGAGTCTTGATTTAGGAATTCGATTTTGAAGGTCCGATTCTTAATATTGAACTGAATGATCTCCTGCTTCAGTAATTTTACAAGTTCGACATATTGTTTTTTCTCAGCCAACCAAACAATTTGACTACGAATCAAATTTTCTTATGGTGGAGGTAATACAAATTCAGACCGATCGATAAATAACACAATTTTTAACTTCGTCTGAGTTTTTAAGAGAAATTGTGATCGATATTATAAATTGTCGGATCTGAACAAAGTTTGATATAAAACTGAGAATTCCATTGCCTTTCATAAAATTCAGAGTATTTTTTTTTAAATTTTACCCTTTTAAGAACATTATACAAGAATGAGTGGTGTGATATTATATACCCGAGAAAATTTTGATACAAATACAAATAAGTTTAGACTTAATCGTGAAAGCCGTTAACTTTATGTGGGATGTGGGATTTGTTTTCTCAATTTTGACTAGTTTTGGAAAAATTGTTGTTATATGTTCTCACAAAAAGAAATAGTTGCAAAAGTACGGAGATAGGATTATTATTATTATTATTATTATTATTATTATTATTATTATTATTATTATTATTATTATTATTATTATTATTATTATTATTATTATTATTATTATTATTATTATTATTATTATTATTATTATTATTATTATTATTATTATTATTATTATTATTATTATTATTATTATTATTATTATTATTATTGTTATTATTGTTATTATTATTATTCTTATTATTATTATTATTATTATTATATTATTATTATTATTATTATTATTATTATATTATTATTATTATTATTATTATTATTATTATTATTATTATTATTATTATTATTATTATTATTATATTATTATTATTATTATTATTATTATTATTATTATTATTATTATATTATTATTATTATTATTATTATTATTATTATTATTATTATTATTATTATTATTATTATTATTATTATTATTATTATTAGTATTATTATTATTATTA